TTACATCTATTGCTTGCATTGCGTCTAAATTTACTAAATGTCATTCTATCATTCCTGAACTTTCCCCCAACCACCACCTCCTGGCGTCCTGATGATGATCCGATCTCCCTTGTCAAACTTGGCCGTCGCCTTCCCTCCGAGGTTGATAACAGACGCTCCCCCATTCCTCACCCACAGATTCTGGCCCATGCCGCCGTCCTGCCCACCTGCGTAGCCCCTCGGCGCCCGCGACCGGCGTTCCGAGAGGATCGAGACCTGTACGCCCGGTACGCGGAACTCGATGTCGCGGACGATGCCCTCGCCTCCGCGGTTGGCCCCCTTGCCCGCAGACCCCGTGCGGACGCCAAACTCGCGCAGGAGCACGGGGTACCGCTTCTCGAACACCTCCGGGTCCGTGATGCGCGTGTTGGTCATGTGCGTGTGCACCGCGTCGGTGCCCTGCCAGGTCGGTCCCGCGCCCGCGCCGCCGCCGATGGTCTCGTAGTACCCGAACCCCTTCTCCACCGTCTCCTCGCCCTTCTCGTTGACGCTCTTGCCGCCGATGCCGAAGGTGAGGTTGTTCATGCAGCCGGAGCTGTTGGCGCAGGCGCCGAAGGCTGTGAGGATGACGTCGGTGATGCGCTGGGAGGTGAGGACGTTGCCGCCCACGACGGAGGCGCCCTGTGCTGGGCTGAGGATGGAGGACTCGGGGATGCGGATGTCGATGGGGTTGAGGCAGCCTTGGTTGAGGGGAATCTCGGAGGCGACGAGGCTGCGCAGGCAGTAGATGATGGCCGAGTGCGTGATCGCCTGGGGGGCGTTAGTATTACCATATACTTGCGGTCCGGTGCCCTCGAAATCGAAGACGGCTGAGCCGGCGTCTTTGTCGATGGTGATGGAGAGGCTGATGGGCGTTCCGTCGTCCATGTAGTCTACTGCCTTGAGGCCTGATGCCGGCATGTTGGCGTGCATCTTCTTCAATAGAGAGCGAACCGCCTGCTCGGCGTTGTCCTGGATGGCGTACATGTACTTGTGGACTTGGGGCAGTGTGTACTCCTGAACAAGAGCATGAATTAGGTTGATGCCCTGCTTATTGGCTGCCACCTGCGCCTTGAGATCCGACAAGTTGTCGCTCAGCGTGCGGGTGCCGGATCCTCCCGGGATCTTGGCTGGTTCGTGGAGTAGGATCTCGATAACGCGCTCCTCGTTGAATCGCCCGTTACTGACAAGCTTCTCGCCTAAGATGGCAGCGCCTTCTTCGTACAGCCAGTGAGAGTCGGGAGGCATGGAACCGGGGCGGGTGCCGCCAATGTCTGCGTGATGGCCACGAGACGCCACGAAGAAGATGATCTCTCCCTGGTTGAAGACAGGCGTGACGACCGTGATGTCAGGTAAATGCGTGCCGCCGCTGGAAGGATGATTGGAGATCAAGACGTCTCCCTCTTCTAAGCGACCTTTCCATTGATTGTACAAGTGACGAACACAGAATTGCATGGAGCCAAGATGGACAGGGACATGCGGGGCGTTTGCCACAAGGCCACCATCGGGCGAGAAGATTGCGCAAGAGAAGTCCAGTCTCTCTTTGATGTTGGTAGACACAGAAGTTTTCTGTAAAGTTCTCCCCATTTGCTCGGCTATGCTCATGAATCTGTGTCCAAAGATGGAGAGCTGGATCGGGTTCACAGCTTGCTCATCCTTTTGCGATGATGAAGTGGGATTTGCCGACGCCTCGTCCTGGAGCTCAATGAGCACAGAGCTCTCCAGTATGATCGCAGTAGCCTCCGGTCTGACAAGGATAGTCTGCGTCTTGTCCAGAATCAGAGCCGGCCCCGGAATTCGTGTGCCCGGCTTGAGGTTCTGAAGCTGGAACAGATTAGTATCGATGCTTCCCTCCCCAGCCACGAAGAACACCTTTGTCTTGGACTCGGGCACCGGGGCGATCGCCTCCGTCTTGGATAACTCCATCAACTGTTTGTACGGGCTCTTCTCCGCATGCTTAGACGTAGAGCCGATGGCACGCACGCGGTAGTCGTCAATGAGGATTCTCTTCTCTGGGAAAATGAAGCCAAACTCGCGGGAGTGCTTCTCCTCGAACTCCTTCAGGAAACTGTCCACGCCGGCAGCGGTTTGTAAAATCATAAAAGCAGAGTTTGAGCCTACGTATCGCATATTCAAATACACCTCAAGACGGACGTGATCTTTGGAAATACCCTGGCTCAGCATATTCGCGGTCGCCTCGTCCGAGATCTCCTTGAGGGTCTTCTCGATTGTTGTGTAGTTTTGTTCGTTGAAATCAAGAGCGGCCGGCTTCTGCACCTCGTGGACCAAGTCTGCTAGCGAGAGACCGTATGCCGAGAGAATGGAAGAGTACTTATGAATGACCACCTGAGTGATGGACAGAGCATTGGCAACGTCGCATGCGCTCTGGCCGCCGGCACCACCAAAGCAGGAGAGGAGGTGCTCGGAAGTATCGAACCCGCGAGCCTCTGTCAAGGCGCGGATGGGTCGTGCCATGACCTCGGAGGCGACCTGCAAGAATCCCAGAGCGACGTCCTGAGCAGTGAATGCATCGCGCCCAGCAGCCCGGTTGTCAGCATTGATTTGGTCTGTCAGTTTGGCAAACAGCTCGGCTACGATCTCGGTGCCTAGTGGCTGGTCCTCGTTGGGACCAAAGATCTTGGGGAAGTATTCAGGGACGATGCGACCCAGGAATAGGTTTGCATCTGTGATGGTTAAAGGGCCTCCCTTGCGGTAACATGCAGGCCCCGGATGGGCGCCAGCAGACTCTGGACCAACAGCAAAGAGTCCATTGCGCCAGAAGAGCATCGAACCGCCACCAGCTGCGACACTGAGAAGGATCGAGGTTAGTATGGATGATCAGAACTGTGTCCGGACACTTGAAGGGATGGAGGACCTACGTAATGATATCGAGCTGCGGCGACTGGATTGAAACACCAGCTGTGGTCGTCTCGAAAACATGCTCGTAAGTGCCGGCAAAGCGAGAGCAGTCAGTTGATGTACCACCCATATCGAAGCCAATGACCGGCTTTCTCTGGTCATCATCCCAAGAGGTTTGCGCATAGCCGACTACACCTCCCGCCGGCCCAGACAGAATGCTCTTCAAGCCACTGAAGCTCTTATAGTCAACCAGGCCACCATCAGACTGCATAAAGTCGCAGCGAAGCCCTTCGGCTTCCAACCCTCCCTGGAAGTTGGCTGAGATGGAGTCAATGTATGATTTAATGATAGGTGTGAGGTATGCGTCGGCGGTGGCGGAGGTGCCCCGAGGAACAGCTTTGATCATGGGCTGGAGGGCGGCAGATTCCACAGCGGAAAAGCCCATTTCCCGAGCGAGAGCCCCGACCTGCTTCTCGTGCTCGGGGTAGACGTACGAGTGTAGAAAGACGATGGATAGCGATCTGTACCCTTGATCCCAGAGGCTTTGTAGCGAGCCACGGACGGCTGTTAGGTCTGGCTTCTGCAGCACGCGGACCACCTCGCCTGTCTGACCCAAGCAGAGTTCAGAGTCAGAAGCCACGTCAATCTCCTCCGGGTACGGGTTCTCAGAGTAGCCCTCGAGGGTGATGCGTTCATCCACCTCCACTACGGACTGATAGAGGAGCTCAGGTGTTTCCACCGTCAAGTCGAAGATCTTGGGTCTCGACTGATTGCTGATGCGCAGAAGATCTTTGAAACCCTTTGTGATGAGCAGGGCAGACTTGGCTCCTTTTCTCTCCAGCAGGGCGTTGGTGCCGACTGTGGTGCCCATGCGGATGCGCTCGATGGGCGTGGTGTCTAAGGGCTGCCCTCGAGGCTGTGGCTTGCCTGTGATGATTTCTAGGATGCGGCGGACGCCCTCCGTAGGTGCGTCATTGTAGTTGGCCGGGTCAACGGACAGGACCTTGAGGATGATGTCGTCTTGCCCGGGGACTGATGCGTGGACATCTGTGAAAGTGCCACCCCGGTCGATGGAGATCTGCACCCCAGACATGGCGACACGGATGGAAAGACGAGGATGATACGATGGGAGGGGGTGTTATGAGCTGCAATGCCTAGGGTCATATCAAACTTTTATTCTCTGTCTCGATCCGTTGTGTGGTATGGCAGAAAACCGCGCAGTTGAGAGGAGCCAAGGAGGAGATGATGCCACCGGGGAAGCGACTTATGTACGAGATTCTCTGCACTGGATGTATTCCAAGCTATTAGCGACATCGCAGGCCTGTATTTATGTGGTTTGGCGGACTGATGCCGGTGGCGGCTCCGCTTTGACTCCAATTTCTACTCGGCGACGGATCTCCGTCCCGCCTGCGCATGTTGTTTAGAGATCGGCAACTCGAGAAATGCCGAAACTAACATGTCCCTACTGTCGACCGGCTTCCAAAGAATTGCCAGACAATGTGTGAAAACGGCGGACAAACACCGCCTGGCATATCAACAATTTCAGATACGATGACTTGGGTTCTTTATCTCTCCATGTTCTTCTGTTTTCACTTTTGCATTACAAATCACACCACGCCCTAAACGGCTGTAATAGCAGCCTTGGCTTTCGTTTAAGTTTATGGTCAAGTTTAATGGCTTGTTCTTCTCTCTAACTTAAATTTCTTTTGTACTCAATACAGGTAGGGTTTAAGTATGCACTACTATGAGATTATACAAGTTTACTGTCGTGAAGAACTGGCTTTCAAATGTAAGGAAGGGCTGTCGTCTGTTGGTCGTTCCCTCAATTCCAAGAAAACACTAGCCAAATTCGTGTGACCAAGACCTGCACAGTCAGTCAATCAGAGAGCATCTTTTATAAATAGCAGTGGAAACACAGCCGTTGGGTTCCGATGCGAAAACTGCAGTTTGATTCACTCCAATGGCTGTACTTTGCTCTGTGTGCGCTTACCCCACCCACTTCTTCGTTGTCACTCCTTCTCCCAAGTCTGTTGGGCACTATTGATTCCTGATCTGATTTGTCTTACTATAAAGAGGCCAGAATATGCTTGAGGAGCTTTGAGTACGCCTTTGTATTTTCAAGCATGGCAACAAAAACAACAACCCCGTCCGGTAGTGTGCCTACATCGGCCCAAGGCCAGACCACCCAATATCAGTGGGAGTCGAGGCCACAAGACATACTTCCCAGCGCCTTGAATGAGTCGGTACTCCATAATGTGCTTGGGAATAATGTGCTCGAGAATGACGGTGTGATTCTGCAGGAGCAGGAGCATTTATGGGCCCTTGAGCCGCCTACTTTAAACGAGTTCCTCGTCCCGGGGAGTCCGAAATTGAACAAAGTCGATGTAGTTCGTGGGCCGAGGGCCCGGACACCACCACCGCCGGTGTCCCACCAGCCGGTGTGCTTCAACTCGGAGGAGGAGGAATATGGGTATTACATAGCCTCGGAAGACCAGTTACAGCTTGAAGATGGGTTTCTCTTGTCGCAGCTTGGCGACGGCCGAGACCCATCTGTGGCCCAACAAGCAACAATGAGATACTTACCTAACCCGTACGGGGAGGAAAGTGCTGAAAGGGATAGGCCACAGAATGGTGGAGAAGCATCGTTCAGAGGCTCACTCGAGTTTTTCTCCGCTTCATTCTTGGAAAGTTGGGACATTGGGATTCAGAAGACGGTTGGGACAACTGGTTGTGACAGGGAAGCACCGGGACAGATAGGGAGATGAGGCACGGAATGTTTCTAGGCGAGTGGTCAAGTAGCTAGAAAGTCTTCACCTTTTTTATTAAGATTAATTATACGTTTATGCTTTCTGATCCATATAAACTAGACATGATTGCTTTGATGAACAATGATCAGATGCTGCATCACGTCCTCCGCACCTTTTGTGTGAGTGGTTACAGGAACCTCAAGAACCGAGCAACAGCCACAAAGAGCAAGGCAAAGCCCAGCATGAAGCCCGTGATACCGAAAAAAGGTGCCAGGTTGTCGCTTGCCGAGCCAGCCCAGGGCACGGGCACATTCATGCCGAACAAAGAGCTCACGAGCTGCAGAGGCACAAAGACTCCTGCTAGAAGCGTCACTTTGTTAAGTACACGGTTGGTCATGTGTGCCTGGGAGTGGTTGCTGATCGAGAGCGTCGCGAGATAATTGCTGTGGGCGCGAGCGAGGATGGTCTCGAAGTGGCTAATGTTGGAGGTCATGGTGACGACGTGGTCCTGGATGTCGCTCAGATACATGCCGATATCCATCCGAGGCGCCATGGGATAGTTCTCGTTGCATCGTTTCGTGAATCCTCCCAGGACGTCCGCCTTGCCTGCCAAGAGGCGGAACAGGGCCATGCAGTTCTTCCGTGCTTGTCCAATCCGCTTGAGGATCGTGTTCTTGTCATCGTCCCGCATGATGAAGACATCGTCATCGATGGAGTCTACTTCGGCTTCCATTCGTCTGATGACGGGGCCAAACTGGTCCACGATGTGATCACTAACTCGCTGTTAGAAACGTGTTCTAAGACAAGATCCCGCGGAACACTTACACAATCGCGTAGCAGATCCAGTCGCTGCTCACCGAGACGGACCCCTTCAAAGCCATCATTTTATTCCGGACGTAAGACGCATGGGCGTTGGGAACAAAGCTGAAGCTCAGCACGCCCTGCCGAAAGATGAGGAGATAAATGCTGAAACCCTGGTACTCAATGCCGTCATCCTCTTCCACGGCATGGAAGGACTGGAACGAGGCAAAATAGTAGGAATTGAACAGCTCGACCTTCTCATGCGGCTCATTTGTAATTATATCCTCGACCGTCAAGGGATGGATTCCAAAGGCTTTTCCAAGTCCCTGGACTTCGGCCCTCGTCACGTTCGTGCAGTTGAGCCACCATGAACCATCATCATCCACCGACTGCTCGAATAGACTGCGTATAGTCTCGCCGCATGGGACCAGATCGACCAGCTCAGACGCAGAAAGCGTTGAATCCGACGAAGACGAGCAGAAAGTGAAGCGGGATCTTTCTATCTGTGCCGGCGGTATGATGGAAGGCTTCTTCTTCTCCTCGAAATCCGGCGAGCCAGGCATTTGCGTGTGAATCAAGTCGCCCTCAGAGTTGGTCGTGAACTTCTCATTGCCAGACTGAGACCTGCGCAGGTCAGAGAAGACTCTGGGTGTGGCATCCGAAGACAAGCGATGATTCATGTGTGCTCCCTGTTCGGCGTGCATAAACTGTTCGAGGAATTCGAAGTCGATACAGAGCTGTTCCTTCTCTTTTGCGTATTCTCCATCGGCATCGTCACGGTACTCGTCGCGATCTTCGATGTCGGGAAGGTGGATGCCGGCATCGTCAACGGGCGCAACACTCGGATGTCTGACCTCCTGGCCTGGAGAGATGCTTCGAGCCTCTGAAATGGACCCAATCCGAGCCAGATGCTCCTCGAACTCGGACCTGGCCTCGCTGCTGAATGTGTTGCGCCGCGAGCGACGTCGGGATGCGGCAAAGGCTTTGACGGAACTGGGCGGCGAAGCGGTTCTGTGGTCGCTGATTTCTTTCGTCCAGGTGCCCCGACGGACGCGAGGGGATAGCGGATCGACATTGTCATCATCGTGATCGTGATTATGGTCGTAGACAATGGTGTTCTCGAAGTCGCGGACAATGATGGCGGGCGAAGGCGTCGGTGTGCGAGCGTTGTCGGACGCAGGCCGGAGAGAGGCGTTTCCCTCCACGGCCTGGAGGCTTCTTCTCTCAGAAGACATGTCGGTATTGTTCGATTGTCCAGAGACAGCCCAGATCTTCCAATTGCTCGAGGCAATTCCAACCCATTCCTAGCTCTTTAACCCATTACTCTGCGATTCTTCCTAGGTGGTGTGTAACGAGAGGGAACATGTTGAGCATGGCGCGATGCTTCTAGACAGGCGCCAAGGTATCTAAGTGCTGTATGAACAGATAGACGCTGAATGCGACGAGGAATGAAGACGGCGGTAGCGAGCTCAATTAGTAGGCAGAGTGGAGGGGCGATTGCTGGACCATCGAGCGAAAAGTTCAGTCGCAACCAGAAAAAAAGCTCCACCGTGACAGACGCCACGCGGCCAGAGTTTGCGACTCATTCCGGGTCAGAAATGCCGTCATAATTAGTAAGTCCTGGTCCATCGAGGTCTCGGCCAAGGGTCCCTTCTGTGAAAAGCATTGCTGCTGAATTGCTTCAGATGATGGGAGAAGGACTTGTCCTTGATGGCATTTTATTTGCTTCTCTTTTCCATTTCATGGCATGTCCAGGCAACACTATATGGGCATGCTGGTGTTATTGTATCTCACATCATATTTTACTCCCTTCAGCCGCACGGCCGGTAGACTCTTCCTCCAAACTTCTATGCCAGCAAAAACTCTATCACCAGGCACAATATCGGTGGCGGGAAATTAGAGAGCTTAAAAAATTGGGAACAGAATTGAAGAATGCACCTAAATCTATTGGTGTATGTTCATAGAGAAAAAAGTACTAAGGGAAAATCATGGCCAAATCCCAGTCTGCCGAATGCCGAATACTCCGTAATATGCAGGCTTGCTCATATGAAAAAAAAAACACCCAGGCCATCAATCGTGCCCCCTTCCTCCTGCGGACTCTAGTCCATCGCATGACTCGCTCAGAAAGGGTTTTTGAAGAGGTTGCCCTCCTTGGAGCTGGTGTACTTCGTTGCCTCATTGAGGATCGCGGTGACAGCGTTGAGCTTAGCCTTTGTTTGCTTCTTGGTCGTCTTCCTTGCCACCTCCTTCTTGACTTGTGCATTCAACAGCTTAGTAGTATTAGTGATGAAATCACGGAGCTTCTTGTTGACCTCGTCGGTGTGCTCCTTGAGGAACGTGAGCCACAGCTCGTCGTAGTTCTGCGACTGGTAGTTCTTGGTATTCTTCGCGACCTCCTCCTCGGCCTTCTTGAGCGCATCGGCCACACGCTTGCCCTGCTTGTAGTAGATTTCGTTGATTTCCTTTTCGTCCATGTACTTGGCCGCTAGGATGGCAGCCTTGACGGTCGCGACGACTCTGTTCTTTCCTCTGAATCCCTTGATGAGGGACTTGATTACTCCCTTCTGCATGATCTCACCCTTGCCAAAGGCCTATTTCCGATTCTCGTTAGAAACCGCTGATTCGTACAAGATCGTGACGGGTTATTTCAACTTACGCGAGCCTTGACTGCATCAATGTTCCTCTCTAACCTCTTCATCTCCTTCTTGCTATACAACTGTCAGCTGAAAGCTCATCCGGGGTGCTCCGTAAGTTTGAATGGCTGCTCACCCGTCTTCATTCCTGTTGGGCCAGGCGAAGCCAACAGAGTCCAGCGGAGTCCGCTTGTTTATCAGAATCTTGCTGTCCGCCCAAGTCTCCTTCATGTAGTTGCACATGTTCTTCTCCTGGTTGTCAATCTTGATCTTCTTGCCCTCCATCTTCTTCTCCGCAAAGATGGTGAAGAGCTGCCTCTCCAGGACATGCTCGTCGACGACCTTCCTGTCCCCTCCCTTGTCGCTGCCCTTGTTCTTCAGGTCAAAATCCTGGCACTCCTCCCACTTCGCCGCGTCGTACAGGTCGTTGCCGTCGGGGAAGTCCGGCGTCGCATACTTCATCTCGGCGCCGTCCTTGGCGCAGAACTTGTACGTCGCCGTCGAGCCCTGGCGCCGCATAAGCGCGTGGTAGCCGCTGGCCAGGTCGGACCCGTCCATGATGTCGCGGGCCATGAGGTAGTAACGCACCGAGTCGTCGACGTCCTCGGCGTCGTAGCGCGCAAACTCCTCCCGGGCCACGAGGTCGCTGACGCTGACCTCCCTCGTGTCGATGGAGGAGAAGTCGACGTCCCGGGGGTCCAGCAGCAGGTCGCGCTTGTTGATCTCGTTGAGCTCCCTGTTGGTGAAGATCTTGGTCTTGGCGCACTTGACCAGGTTGCACTTGGCCGACTTGGACTTGCAGTCGGTGCCGGAGGAGGCGGCCTTCTTGGAGTTCTTTTTGGCTTCCTTTGCCTTGATCGCATTCTTGGAGTTCATTGGGTGGTTTGGGTCGTCGACTCGGATCTTGTCGGTGTCCACGGCGGCCACGAGGCCGAAGGACATGGTAAGTCCCAGCACGGCGAGGTGAAACTTCATGATGGGGATCTTGATTGATGATATCCCTTGCAATAAGACACCTAAAAGAACAAAAAGAAATCAAAAGGGAAAAAAGGAAAGACGAGAAAACATCCACAAAACAAGGGAATCGGGAAGCATAGTTCACAGAAAGCAGCGGGAGGCTTATGCTTCCTTTGAATTATGGGAGATCGCCATCCTACGTAATGCGACTCCAAGCATGGCCTGTCTAACGCTGGGGCGCGACAGTGGACGGAATCCTTCCCTTCCCGGTGGCCCGTTTCACATCACATGGGGTGCTATTTTTGGCAACAGGCTTGCTCTGGAAGTATGACTGTATGTCGCCGAGACAAAGTTGAAGGCAGCTTACATGCTGGGTATAATCAATAAATAGCCAATGGATGTCTTTAATGGCCCACGGTGTCTACCTCGCCGCTGGCACAGCGCTCGCTTCACTGATTATTGCTCCCTCTTCAGCTTCTCCGTCTTGGCAAGCCTCCAGCAAGACACAATACAAGGAATTCGAATCAAGGTGCGACACAGCAGTGGCATCTTAGACCAACTTACTATGAATTAATATTATTAACAATGATTTTTGAAATCTCGACCCTGAAAGAGACACTGTGTATTCAACTTAATAAATGCTTTTGAGTGTAAGGGCCGTAAAACACCAGCGTGCTTGATCCAAATCTTACGTGAGACGTCTTCTGCCCACCTTGCCAGGTCTTGCTTGCTCGAGACCAAATGAACAACTTGCAACTTGTTCTTCAGAATGATATTTGCTATTTCAGTGACTTATTACCAAGGGCTGTAGGACCCAGCTAACATGATCGCACAAATATAGGAGGGATCGGTAAGAGAAATAGGTTCAACCCAATATCTTAGGATGTTGTTAGAAGTAAATGCCTGCGTACCTATCATGCTGTTGGTGTGAAATGTTCTTATGCTCGGAGAGACATGGCTGGTCCTTGCTTATTCCCATGAAGGTAGGACTTCATGCCTTTTCCTCTTTATCTCAACAGCCCGATACCACTTCATCAGCTTCTGCTGCTTCTCGATCACGTAGTCCATGTCAACCACAGTGCCCATATCCGCCCCCGAATTGAGTACGTCCTCCATCGCGGATGCTAAGAGCTCACAGTCCCAGCACCCACAGATGCTATAATCTTTGGAGAAGTGCTCCCGGTATAACCTCGCGGTCCTCTCAAACCCATCATTCAGCTTGCCTGGCCTGATCGTATCGTCATGGTTGATGAACCGTCCCACCCTGGCCTGGGTATCGCTGACATACTGGGCCGCCGCGCACTGGTGCGTATGCCAGACCAAGTCAATATCCTGCGTGGGAACGACCATCATTGATGGCACCCTTCTCATCAGCTCGCAGAAGTTCTCGTATCTGTCAATGGCCCTCTGCAATGTTCCTTCGAGAGCAGGGCTACGGATCCATAGAAAGTCGTGCATCTTTTCAATAAACTTGCTTTGACGGAGCACAGCATCTCTGAGCGCCCCCGAGAGAGTGGGTTCGGCATGCAAAAACTTCTTGAAATAACGCGCTAGGGTTTTATTATGCTGTAGGTTGAGAGGGTTTGCAGCACCGGCACTCTTGCCGAACCTAAAGTCTTTGAGACCAATGTATTGTTTCTTGGGTGGGTGGACTGGATCGGTGGGCCAGTCCTCCAAGGTTTTAAACAGGTCGTGATCCAAGCCAGTGTGCCTCTCAAATCTGTTCTTGTCATCCTGCGAATGTGAGAAGCCCCAGTTGCCCTTGTCGATATGGCTATGGATCGCTTCCCAAGGAAATTTGATCTTGTAGAGAGGTTCCCGCTCGTAGTTCTTGCGGAACATGGCGGGGTTGAGCAGCAACGAGTGCCAGACCATCAATATATCCAAAGGCGGGAGATATGGCAGGACCTCGTATGTGACGACGTTGCTAATGAGAGTCTCCCTCCAAGTGAGAAAGCGAACAACGGCAAATTCGACGTACTTTTCCCACTTGCCCTTGTGCCACGCTTCGATTGTTAAATCGTCTGGTTTGTATTTGCTCTGGTATCCCATTGCTAAATGAATGGGCTTCGAAGCTAAAACTTGTTCGCGCATATCATAGAGCACTTCCAGGAATTCTAGATGAGTAGCACATTCAGCTACATTCGGTGGCGTCCATGAGCGCGAGCTCGAAGGGCCTTGCGGCTTCTCTTTCAATGATTTGAAAATTTTCTCCGAGGGAATATCCACCGGTTCGCCAGAACTATAGATGTTTGGACTGGTTTCTAGTAAGAAGTTATGGGCTGGTATGGCCATCTGGATTGCCGTCTTATGCAGCGAGGAGAGTGTGTCCAGAGGCATGTTCGGCCTCGGGTTGTTGTCAATTGGCATCTTGTCAGCGTTGCTTGATTGACAGGATTGGATCCGTAGAGTTGAAGGCGTGTGTGCCCTCTAGTGGCAAAATAACACTCATTCACAAGTCAGGGATTAACGTAAAGGCAAACATGGTGAGGGCGGACTGTAGGAGGAGGAGGCATGATCAATTAAACCCGCTCAGCCGCACCAAGGAGCCACCAGGGCGTCAACAGGCCACGCCCGACACTGATGGAGGCATCTCAAGGTCCTAACTACTTCAATCGCAGCTGATGCAGATCCATCTGGTCTCGGTTCCACAGCACGCAGCTAAAACGTGTGGCCTTGCTCATACGTATGTTCCACCAGATCGATGGCCTTCTTTACCATCTCACGATCCGTCTGAAACGTCAACTTGTCCAACACCTCAGAATAGCTGAAAAAATACACCGCAAATCTATCCTTCTCGAGCGACTCAACAGGTGGAATAGTCTCATCCACACTGGCAGCATACCACCAAATCAGCTTGACCTCGCTGTCGCTACGCCGGCGGATTTGCAAGGCCAGTGGCTCAGTGATCCCCAGGTAGAAACGGGCGCCATCATCCAATTTCTCGGTTTCAGTCGCGGGTGGAGAGCGGGTGTGCATATTTAACGGCAGGATACGCCCCGAGAAGCCAGTCTCCTCGGTCAATTCACGCAATGCTGCTGCTTGGCGAGACTCTCCGCAGTTTCGGCGGCCCTTGGCGAGCACATATTCATCCGAGTCCAGGACGTGAAGCACGCAAATCTCTCGTGATGCAAGGCAGAACAATATCGCACCGGCGCTTTCGATGAATGCTTCCGACATGTATTGCTCAAATGGGAATCGCGACTCGGCCATGACTGGTTTTATTAGCATTGGTAATGAAGAAACATCCAGGGCGAAGGTCAAGGTTTCTGTGCACCTGGAGTTACCTGCTTAACTGTGTGCGTGAATGAGGTTTGTTCTCTTCCAGGCAGCAATGCCGCCAGCAGATGCATTCAACACATGTAATCGCTTAATCATCCTTTGTGACTGTATGTACGGGGTGATCAAACTGGAGAAGACGTGCTTTCCTCGTTTTTGCTGACGTATTCACGAGTGTGATTATTTGACGCTTTCCAATATCCCGATCTCTTGTCGCGCGCAGGCAGCGTATTGCAGATCAAGGCCATGTTCTGTTCTAGACATACATATATAAATGGTATCTCATCGTAAATATATACACCCAGCAAGAGCTTCAAATTAACTCAAGAGCCACCGCATCCCCCGCCACATCCTCCTCCACCTCCTCCATCACCACCACCTCCATCACCACTGCTTCCACCACCACAACCACCGCCTCCCGAATCACCACCATCCCATCCAGAAGAGCAAATGGCAGCACACGCTCCAGGTGGCGCGATATTCGTCGGAGCCGCGCACGCACCGCCCGTGTAATATGCGCACGTCGCGCCGTGCTTGCCCTTTTTCTTGATCTTCCTCCCCGCCCAGGGATTGTCCGGCGTCTGCACCCACAGCTCCGGGTCCGGCGCACTGCTGTTCTTCTCATCAAAGTAGGTCTTGCTCTCGTACGGCGTGAACACCTTCGCATCCTGCCACCCCACCTCCCTCCTCTTCACCCTCTCCTCCCGTAGGGTCTTGTACCTCCCGACCCTGTCCTTGTAAGGTTCCGCGATCCAGTTCGCGCGGAAGAAATGCTGGGCCACGTACTTGTTGTAGTGGTGGCTGAACGGCTGCGCGCGGTGGGCGCTGCCCATCTTGACTCGTTCCTGGGCGGGGGTATTCTGGAATGTGAGCCAGTGTGTGGTCTTGAGCACGGCCGGGGATGAGGCCATGGCTTTGGCGACAGTTATCAGGGCGTCGTGGGCTAGGAGAAGACGCATTCTATTCCGGAACCATGCCGGATTGCGCTTCCTCGGCTGCTCTTTTTCTGAATATGCTGGGGGGTGATCGTCGTCCCGAGAGTAGAGGAAGCTGCCCCGGGCGAGATGCATGGAGATGATGGAGAAGGAGTCAAAGGGACTGAACCAGACGTGTTTAGATAGGTTGCAGTCCCCGCAATGGGTAGGGTATCTTCCATATGCCTCTGTACAGTCCCACGGAAACAGGTCCTGGTGTGGATACAAGGGCTTCAAGGCTGCAAAATCACTCCAGTACTCTGAAATGCTGTCTATGAGGTCTGACTCCTCGTGGCGGCCATTCTGCATGCGCAGTAGATATTCCTCGACGAAGCCGTTGGGTGCTTCGTATTTGGACCACGGGTTTTCTGCAACCAATGGACCTGGCCGACAAATAAAGCTCATAAGGAGCGGGTAATCAACCGTGCCAGTGCCAGCACTCGGCGGGAACAGGCAACGGAACTGGGGCTGGTCGAGAAGCTTGTCACAAAAGTGGCGACAAGTATTACCTGCTGAGCTCCATCTAATATCGAACGTTGGATCGGTTAGCCGGTCGACGATGCCTCGGAACAGGCTTTCAATTCTGGGTCCCATCAAGCCTCTGAGTTTCCCGATGGCAAGGTCAATGGTGAGTGTGTCGTCGCCTGCGTTCTCGGCCCCCTTCAGTAGGACATCCACAATGGACTCCTCCAACGATGAATCCAGGTAGCCACTGAATGCGCCCCCGACCATTTGCTTCATCATCAATTTGTGCCTTTTGGGACTTGTTGGTCGATTCTGCGAGAAGAGAGTTCGTTCATCACGCCCAACCAGGAGAAGACTGGGCTCAGTTGCGCTTGTAGGGAAACGGTCAGCCTCCAACAAGTGTTGAGGCTGCCGTGTCGTAATGAGAACACCACCATCGGTGCTAGAAACGGGTTGGTATCAACGTCAGCTTGGTCTCCGCGAAACTTCAAGGATACTCACTTTGCAACCCCATTCTCAATCACGACGGGCCCAATACGGACAGCCATGTGGATGCTCCCGAATGGAGAATTATTCGACGAAGGGAGAAGATAGCCTGGTGTACCACCACCGGCACGATGGAAGACATCGGACCCAAACTCCGGCGTGAACCAAGTCCATTGGCTCGACTTATCTTGAGAGGTCAGATGCTTGTACGTCAGTCCCTTCGAAATGGCAGCCCGTGTATCATCTCCCATTCTGATGGCATAGTCCGCCAGACTCAGATTCTTGTCCTGCTTTTTCCTCGTCGTGTCAAACTTGGCCTCCGCGACGTAGTTCGCAAGGTTCCCCAAGCCACACTTCTTATGCGTGAACTTGGTCACAGGATAGAGGGAGCGGGAAACCCCTTTGTCGTCTCTTTTCATCTTCTGCTGGTCTTCACAATCGCAGAGCATGTGGCTCACTTCCAAGGTGACACCCTCGTCCAAGCAACATGATTTAAGCTTCTTGGTATAACCAGGTCTTCCATAGTTCTCTGGTTGGAAGTAGCAGCGCTCGCAAATGACAGCATCAGCGCGCTCAGTGTTGACGAACATAGACCCCCGGATGGGAGCGTGGCATCCTGTGCAGAGCACTGCATGAGCCTCCGCCTCCATCTTGCCAGAGCGATCTACGACTCCGAGTTTGAGTTGCGCCGGCGCCAGCCTGGGGGCATCACTGAGCGGCTCGCGGTGCTCGACGATCTTGTCGATATCCAACCACTGTGCCGACTGGAGCAGGAGCCGCACCCTCCTCCTCCAAAGATTCTGCTTCTGATCCTCGGAATAACCCAAGAGCTCTCTCACCTGCTGCCTCCTCTGTGCACTCTGCGCATCGGCCAGCACCTCGTACCCACGATTCTTCAGCGCAGTCGAGTACAGCGTGTCGGACGACTCCTGATCCATCCAAGCATTCTGCCGACGACTCTCGCTCACCTGGTCGAGGAAGGAATCGAAGCCATGAAGGAGAGGGTCAAGCTCCTCAGGCAAGGCATCGTATCTTTCCTGCCGCCATACACGCAGGGCACGGATGATGTGTTCCAGGTCTCTTTCTACTGCCGCCCAATAGAGGTCGAGAAGTTGGCTGAGCAGATGATCGCCGGCCGGACCGATCTTCTCGCGGGGAATGGAGGGCGCGTCGGTGATGTGTGGTGGCAGTTTGTTGAAGATGTTCTTGAAGGCTGAGGCGCTTCGGAGGCGCGCCTTGACCAACGACATGGCGATGTTCTAATCATCAATTGAGATGTACCTTCCAATGTGGCTACATGGTCGCATTCAAGATGCGCGTCATTTATCCAAGAGGACGGCATTCCCGCGCAAAGCGAGCGATTCCTCCCAGGCGCATCGTCACGGAGTTCGCACCGCAGCCGGGCACCTGAGTGGGCGGACGACGACGGTCAATTGGCCCAGTAAAAGAGGGGATCAACAGCAGCTGAACTGCCCCGGAAATGAAGTAAAGCATGGGTCCTTTTCAGCTCTCGGGTGACCAACATGTTCTTAGCCGAATGCTCAAAGCCGGCTCATACGACAGCACAATCTATTACAACATGCGAGGGAGGGGCTGCGTCTTGGAGGATGACAAGGCTGGCAGGAATAATAACTCGCACACATCTTCGATTGCGGGGGGTCCAGTTATTTCAATTCGTTTATTCATAGGTAGGTATATATATAATTTACCACTGGCCCTCGTTGGCGAGTTGCTGCTCAGCCTGCTTCTGAGCATGGCGCTTGGCCTTCTCCTTATCAACGTAGTCCAGTCCCCTCGTCTCGACCTCGCGGTCGACGAATGCGCCAATCACACCGGCGAGGATTTCCTTTGCGCGAGCGTGGTCTGCGGGCTGGCCTGGAATGACACCTCACGTTAGAAAATGGACCTTTCGACTCTAGCCGTGATGGGGGAGGGAGGCCATCGTACCGTTCCTTGCGACGTGGTCCTCGTAGGCCTTGGCAGCCTCGAAGGCAGCAGCGCCGCCGATCAGCTCGTGCGACCAACTGGCCTCGTGAGGGCGGTTCACGACCTGGTCGTAGGCCTGGGCCTCGCGGGAGTCATCTTCAGATTTGTTAGGAGGTTCCGTCGAGGATCTCAGACTCGGGTGTCAGGACTCACCGTCAAACCAACCCATGATGATAGATTTTGAAGACAAATGTAGGCTTAAAGGCTAATTTCTGTTTAAGAGTGCAATGATTGAGATTGAGAGTTTGAACGATCAATTGGCTTGCACCTAGCGATGCGGCTTCACCTTTTATAACCTTCTTCACCCCCTCAAGCAATCCAGTAAACAAGCTCCAGGTGTCCCTATTCGCCATCGCCTGGATCTCACGGCTAATTCAGAACGGCCCGTGACGGCATTGGGTACGCGTCATCCTTCTTCATGCTTTGAAGCCGGGTGTTTCAAGGTCCTCATGTCATTCGTACGGCATCTTGACGCCGAAAAGCCCCCACAGGAGGTAGTAGCTATTGATGGAATGGATTCTGGAGCTGGAGAGCTCCCGACAGGTGTGGCGTGGCGTCTGGATCTAAGCCGATCGACCCGCTCGTGCCGGTGCCGTGAGTACGGTGAAAGGCGGACTTGACCGTCAGAATGGGGGAGGGAGCCCATTGGATTGGGGTTAGGCTTGCCATTCTTCCGGTTCATGGCCAGCAAGTGATGAAGAGGAGAGGCCTCCTCGCATTGATTATACTGCCACGCTTGTCGTGGATGGTGCCATCTCAGCTCTCCCTGGTCACACCATCAGCTCCAAGCTTCATTTGTCGAGGTGCAAGGAGATGGTAACTGAAGTGCCTCTTTGGGCTGTGCGCTATTTTGGCTTCGGTTCGAGATTGCCGGTGCATCTCAATCAAGGCCTTGACGTCGCTAAGGTTGCCATCGCTCGGGTTTTCGGCAGCCAGGCAGTGTCAAATGGCAAGCCACAGTAGCTCAATGAGCCTTACTAGATCTTCAGGCGGGGAACTGAGATGGCCAGCCGAAGCTTCAGGATTGGCTGACGCCACGGGATCACTGGCGCCTCTCGTTTCAAGTTGAGAGGTTCCCCTCAGTATGAGTGACAGGACAAGAAGCCGTTGCCTTTGATCCACATGTTGCCGCCATGCCTTGTGAGCTGCTCTCAGAATGTGGACCGAGGAGAGCTCTCAGAGACCCTCAAGCTTGCTCTGAAATGGGCATGCACCTAACGGCACACAGGGACGATGATGGATCACAAGGCTATGTACACTTAGGTAGGCACGTCGTTGTCAAGTCTAGCTTGTTCACAAATTATATTAAAATTATCAAACGCTTTCGCTATCTCGATATACAAATTCTGCCCGGCGGGTATCAGGATGAGGCGTTGCCACTCTTATTGCTCTTGCCGCTGTTGCTGGTGTTCGCCTCCTCCTCCCCCGACGACACGCTCACTCTCCGGATCGTCTTCCAGGCGCCCATGCCCTTGTCCGACAGCCTCTTCGACGCCGAGCTCAACAAAGAAATACGCCCAAAATTCAGTGTCCCCACCTGGGACGGCGACGAGGGCTCGCCGGTGGCCTCGATGGTCGTGTACACCCCCAGCTTCTGGTCGCCCTCGTAGATACTAGATCGGCTGTTGTTATTGCCGCCGTTGCTGCTGTTGTTGCTGCTATTGTTGTTGTTGATGGCCCCGCTGGCCATGGTGACTTCGTTGGGGTTGTTGACGCTGTAGTGGCTGCTGTACTGGCTGTTGACCTCCTCGCTGCTGCTGCTGCTGATGACCGTGTGCTTCTCCATCATGGGCAGGACGGGCAGGGACGGCGGCGGCGAGTCGGACAGCTTCAGCGAGCTGGGCTCCTCCCTCCGCTTCCTCCACAGCCAGAAGAGGAGGGCGAGGACGAGCAGGGCCGCGACGCCGACGCCGGCCCCGATGCCAGCCTTTGCCCCGGTGGACAGACCTCCTCCGCTGCCGCCGGCCTCATCCTTGTTATCGCTGTTTGATCCACCGCCGTTGTTGGAGCCGCCGTTGGTGCCGGTGGTGTCGTTTGGGATGTCGGTCATGTAGTCGTTGGGGTTGCCCTCCGTGTTCTCGATCCCGCCCGTGCTGGACTTGCGCTCCTTCTCATCGTAGTTGCCCACGCAGTTGAACTTGCCCTTGACGATCTTCTTCAGGTTCTGCTGGAACCAGTAGCAGTCCATCGAGCTGCCCCCGCTGACCTCAAAGTCCCCCGTCACCTCCTTGAGCCCGAAGAACTCGACGTTTGTGAGAGATCCCGAGATCGAGATGGAGTGCACCGACTTGAGCGCGTTGGCGGTGAAGTTGGTCAACTTGTCGTTCTTCTTGATGAAGATGTCCGTGAGGGTGCTCACACGGGGGAGGGCTAGCGTCGTCAAGCTCGGATTGCTCTGGACGGTGATGCTCCCGTTCAGGTTCTTGAGGAGGGGCACGGTAAGGTCCTCGATGGAGGTGGACTGGAAGGCGAGGGCGCCCTTGACGGTCGTAAGGGAAGCCAGCTGGATTTTGCTCAGCGAGTCGAACGTCGATGTCGAAGAGCTATTGCCACTGCCGAGGGACTGCAGCTTGGGGAGGTAGAGAGCGGCGTTTGCCCCGTTCGAGGTGAAGGAAAAGGTGCCGGCTGTCTCGAGCGCGGGCAGTGCGAAGGAGGTAAGGGCCGCGTTTTGGTAGATGGTGCCATCCCCCTTGATGGTCTTGAGGCTCGCGAATGTCGCCTTGGTGAGCTTGCTGTGGGCCGTCAGGGCGAAAGCCTTCTCCGCGGTCGTCAGGTCGCCCACCGTCAACGTCTGGAGGTTCTTATTCGAGTTGATTGAGAAATCTTGCTTTACGGAGCTCACGCCGCCGAGGGAGAGGTCGGTTGATTCGAGGTCGCTCACCCGCATCAACCCACCGACGGTGAGAGACTTGGCATGCTCAACCGTGAAGCTCTGGTATGGCCCGGAGATGACGTAGTTTTTCTGGACCTGCTCCAAGGCCGGGAACGATATTTGGACCTCCTTGACCGAGGTGGTCGTTCCCGTGACTGAAATAGTCAAATCGCCATCTACCTTCTTCAGACTCTTGGCCGTGGCCGTCGTTTTCTCCGGTTGGCTGGACGGGTATATTACGAGGTCGCCTTCGATGGACCCGACGCTGCCGAGGTCGACTGATGCTTCGCTAGGCCAGGCGGAGGGGGCGCTGTTGAACAAAAGAGAGAGAGACCCGTCGATCGCATCGCATGTTGAGACGGTCTTGCTGTCGTCGGGAGCATCGATGATGGTGTAGTTTGACGATATGTTGCAGTCTGCCATCGCGTGAGGATTCCTCGTCAGCTTCCCGCCATTCACCCTGCTCTTCCCGCACGCCCCGGAGCTTGTTTGTTTACTTACCTGCAACGACCTGTGCCAAAAGAATGGACGCCGCCACGAGGACGGCGTGTCTCGTGGGAGCCATCAAAGACAATCGGCGTCGTGCCAGCACCGCGAATGGCAGCCGCTCGATGAGTCCATCTAGCGTGAGACGGGACGGTTGGAATGTTGGTTTCACAGAGAGAGAGGTGCCCAAAGAGGGGGGCGGAAAGGAGAGTAGCTCTTGGGTTCTCTTTTATTCATCTCGCCTAATCTGCCAGGGTTGTCAGTCCACGAGCCTACCAATTGGTTCCTGGTAATTAGCTCACGCCATCAGGGAAGATGCGACACCAAACAGGAAACTAGCAGGGCCAATTCAGTCTTTATCCCTGTCGGCCATGATTTAATATTATGCATGGGTCCGAGAAGCAGGCCGGGACCCGCCAGTAGAATCGCAGTCTGAAGAAGATTACTACGGTAGCAATCAGAATATTAGTCCAGCGATTGTCATTGTTTGTGGTCTAGACTTCATCTAGCCGCCTGGCTAGACGCTGTTTGTCGTATTGGCAGGCATGGGTTGTAGCGAGACGTCAAGGATGTGCTCGATCGGTGCAACCGCTGGAATTGTCTCAGAGGGAAGAGATGCAGCGCTTACATAGCTGTCATCGGGCTGTGCAGCAAGATGTGCTCTCCCAGCCAGGGATGTGCAGCATGTCAAGGCGGCTGAGACAGGTCCATCAATGCAGAGATCTCCATGTTCTATATTCTCCAGATATGTCTGTGCTGCACAAGTCTACAATCTGCACCCCGTGTCATATGTCATAACTCCACTAAGGCTTCGATTTCGATTCTGCCGCTTTTCCTTTATGTTTCCCTTCCACCTCTTCCCAGCTCGTAACGCTGCAGGCTCGAGAAGAAGGAAATGATCCCAAAGGCCATCGCTTACATGCGAGCTTTCAGTTCCAGATATGCTAAATAAGAGGAGTCATGTAGAAGCCACAAAGCCACAGTTCATGAGATCTCACTACGCCGAAGCTTGTGGCGTTCGCCGATGGTCGGCTTGGATTTGCCCATTATGACTCGTGTCGGTAGTCAGCCGTGATGCTCGGCAGTCAACCGTCGCGCGCGCAAAGACAACACTTGTATGACCGGCAATTCGCTGCCTAGAATTACTTGATGAGGCAGTCGACTGGAGAGCCTCGGTGCAGCCTCCTCCATATTTCAAGTCCAGCTCGTCTCGCCCATCGCCAGCGGCCTCAATTGCTCCCTCCCACTGGATAAAAAGACGGGTTGCACAATTGATCCCCAGTCTAGGCGCCCAATATTCCCTCTTCCCTCCACCGTCTCACGAACCATCATGGATGCCCTACTTGGTCCCCCTGTGCCTACCGACCCGGCCGCCGTGCCACCGCGCACGCCGCTACATGGGCGCTTCACGTCCCTGGTCCCCCTGGAGCCGTCGCATGCACCAGCCAGCTTCAAGCATCTCGCGGGCGAGGGAAATGCCCAGCCGTGGACCTTCATGTTCGGCGGCCCCTACAACACAGAGGCCGAGTGGCAGAAGGCCGTTGACGACTGGTGCAAGCCCAGCGACCCCCTCTGCTATGCTGTGCTCGCCAAGCCCACGCCTGACGCCGGCAGCCCAGAGCCGGTCGGGCTCATGTCGTTCATGAACATTGTCCCTGCGCACCGCCGGCTGGAAATTGGGAGCATCATCTTCGGCCAGGCGCTGAGGAAGACGCGCATGGCCACCGAGGCCTTCTACCTGACCATGAGGCACGCCTTTGACGACCTGGGCTACTCCCGGTTCGAGTGGAAGGCGAACCATTTGAACAAGCCCAGCTTGGCGGCAGCTGAACGGCTCGGCTTCGTCTTCGAGGGAATCTTCAGGTGAGTCTCCGATTCTAGGCCATTCTTTCTATTTTCTTTTTTTTTTTTCTCCCCGAACCGTAAACTATTCGGTTGCATCTCCACCGCGCACGGTCTCGGTTGCTGATATTCAATTCGTTCCTTGGCATAGGAAGCACATGATCATCAAAGGTCGTAGCCGTGATACAGCATGGTACAGCATCACCGATGACGAATGGCCTGTCATCAAAAAGGCCCTGGAAACCTGGTTAAGTGACGATAATTTTGACGCGAATGGTCAGCAAATCAGAGATTTGAAGGAAATCAGAGCATCCATCCACGCCAACGTAGCTTAGGCTGAAAACGAAGCCTATCCCGGAGTGCCAGAAGCCGGCTTAGGGGCTAGGCACAGACAAAGAAAGCAAAATATGCCGAGTGGATGTGTTCTCTTGCTAGCTTTTGTGAAACTCACGGGGGTTTCTTACCTGCGGCATCGGTCTATCGTCAGTCAAATAAACCTTCTAAATAACAAGAAACCATAGACGAAGAAACACATTTACCCGTGTTGGTATGAAAGTTTTCTAAATTAGATTCATCTCTTGTTCTGAGCGAAGCAACCAACTGGACGTGAGAAAGATTCAATACCATAGCATGATCTCGTGGCATATAGGGTAGGTGTCTTAAACTGCACGTCTATGTACCTTACCTACATGTGGGTAAACAAGGACTAAAATCATACAAAGACATCAAGTTTTACCGCACTCCAGCAATTTTGAAAAGGTGCAAAAACATACGTCAAGAGCTAAGCTCCTTCTGGGGTTTCCGTAGGTTGTGGAACATCATGGTCCTCTCCAGCGGCTGGCCCAGTGATCTGACTTGTGGCAGCAAGGAACTTCCATTGACCATGTATCTTTTCATAGTCGACTCCAACCCCTTCAGATATCCTTATACTGCCTCGGTATGCTGCCAAGTCTTTCCAGTCATCTTTCCTTGGGCGAAGGCCTTGGCGCCCACGAATGGTGATCCGTGGTTCGATTATGAAGTCCACAACGTGTGAATAAGTGAGATCGGCGGATGGAGCTAGCATCTGTTTACGATCAAAGGGAAAATCTTTCACTTTGCCCGTGGCGGGGTCTGCCATTTCAATTGTTATGCTGATTGCTGAATGGATCATCTGGGCATCCAACCTGATGGCTCTGTAAACCAGCCACTCTAGACTTTCATGTGGGGTGTGATCGGGAGCTTTGACACGGGACTCGGATAAGAACAGAGGGGCGAGATGTTTTGCCAGAATGCTGTAGAGCCGACCTGGTTCGGTATGCCATGAGTCTTTATGCATGTCGAAGAGCATGCCTGACGAGATGCGGCGCCAGTTGTGAAAGCGAGTGTTGGATGGCGAATCGGCGTCTTCAGAGTTCTCTGCGTGATCTGTGATTGGTAAGCAAGAAACTTCTGCTTGACGTTATGAAGACAAGGGAAAGGGGAATATGCACGTACTGCTGTATATGCGCTGCAGCTGCCCGAACACTGCCCAGTCGGGTGACGACCACTTTTCGTGGCAGTCAAGCGAGAACAGATTCTCATGCAGGAGGTGATAGATCCATCCCTTGAACAAAGCATTGGAATAGAATTTGTCGTTGCTCTCTATGTACTTTTTCGCATTGGAAGCCCAGGAACTAATTTCCTTCCGACTCTCCTCGGAAAGATCTTCCCACAAGTGGCGTACAGGCATCCATTCTCGAACGAGTTGGGAGATATCGAGCCTCAAAGAGGCTACTGAATCCTCCCTAATGCGAGAATGCTGAAAATCGAGACGGCCATACACAAATTTTCTCCACCAACTCTCATTGTGAAGTAGATTGGGTGGAGGTGGACGTGAAGTCGATACAATTTTCGTGACTGCTTGCTTATCGTCTTTGTCACCACTGGTAATGAAACCAACACTATCCTGGATCTCATCCCTGGGTTTATCCAATAGAATGCAGGCTCTTTTGGATGCAGGTGAACTCGTTGAGTCATGAGAGCTCGCATGGCGCTTCAAATTTCCGGACATGTTGGTGCTGAGGTGTGATGTTTTCACGTCTGAACAATTCTTTTGGGCAAATTTTCTACGAGAAGCTGGGGGGGGAAGCAATAAGTACTGGAAAGTCACCCATCTCATGCACAAAGAGTGTGCTGCCCAGAAAAGTAGAGGTTTTAGCGTTCTTTGTCCAGGCATTGATTCACAGCTAGGGCGGGGGTTTGATGGACTATGCGTCAGTGTGTGAGCAACATGGTACGGTGCTATCTCTGCCGCATTGATAAGTACACACTATGCATTTGTTCTATATGTGTCATCGTATGATTAACATCCGTGGTTGAATTCGCGATATGGAAGATTGTTTCTTTGAGTAATCTCGTCACTGACGAGTTTGCCCAGTTGAAGTCAAGCGGAACCCCGTCAATGCAACTTGGTAGGTCTTAGGCGATTCCTAATTCTCATCTCTTTGTTTATGCATGTAGCGAATCTTTTTCTTGAAAGGTACTGGCGTTTCTATATTTAAAGTTGTGATATTATTAGAAACCGGCCTGTGCTGAATGAAGCCTTCGATTACCCCCTTGAGGGAGTTACTTTGTATGAATCCCATCACTCTCACTCAAAGCCTGATATTGGTATATTTAGCAGACCTCGTTCTATTGCCACCGTGTCCTAACTCGAATGTGTACAGGTAGACTTTCGGCCTTCGTCCTTTATTAGAGGCATCACTAACAACCCTTAGCTCCGCTGCCCCTCAATATAGTTCGTAGCAGGGGTTGAATGATAGGACACACCTAGGTAAGTTGCTAGATCAATCAAATCTCCTCCCTGTGGCACCACTGAGATCAAAGATGATGTGATGTACCCCGCATTGTAAGATCAACGCGAATTCAGCAAGATGGTGTGCAAATGATGTAACCTCGACTTCTAGTAGTTGGCGATGAGTTGCGGCGGTATCGGTAATTACAACAATCGATGTGGTGATGGCGTGATTGCCCCAGCGGCATTATATATGTTGAGCTCTCTTGACTCGACTTGGATTTGGTACTAGCAGCTGGATGTCAAACCATCTACACGTCAGATCAAATCTGGCTTATCATTGATTACCAAGCTATATATCCATAGCAGCTCCAGTGAACAGAAATCTGAATCTCGATAAAACTCACAATGACGACTACGATAACTGAAACTGGTAATTCCACCATCAATGTCAAGTTGGCATATGATACGGTATTGCATGAGCAGGTGAGATAGCTAAATCTTTATGGCGAATTATACGTATGCTCACGATCATTCTTTAGTACAAATACACTGAGTATCTGCCGGTGTATGACGAGACTACTAAATTTCCGCCTCTAAAACCGTTTGAATTCAATGACAAGGGACTGGTCGCCAACAAAGAGAAACCGAATCTCTTTGCCAGAGATACTCCTGGCGTGTCAGTCTCCAAGATAGCCCCGGTCATTGGCACGGAAATTCGCGGCCTTCAGCTCTCTCAACTCAATAACCAGCAAAAGAACGAACTTGCGCTGCTTATCGCAGAAAGAGGCGTCGTGGTCTTCCGTGGCCAAGACTTCAAAGACATAGGGATCGAAAAGCAGTTGGAATTTGCGCGATATTTCGGACCGCTACACATTCACGTAAGTTCAAACCGACGGAGGATGCAATTGACGCCGAAGAAGGAGTGCTAACATTCATTTTCTTGGAAAGCCTGTCGGAGCCCACGTCAAAGATCACCTTGAATTCCACAACATCTATCTGGGTCCCGACAATGAATATCGTAACCAGAGAAAGTTAGAAAGACTCAACACTATTGGATTCCACTCGGACGTCTCCTACGAGCACCAACCTCCTGGAATCACGCTCTTGGCTCTGCTGTCAGTGCCGGAAACTGGCGGCGATACAACCTGGGCCAGCCAGACAGCGGCCTACTCCCGCCTTTCCACGCCCATTAAGACACTGCTGGAGGGTCTCAAAGCCGAGCACAGCGGGTTTCCCCAGGCGGAAAACGCCCGGCGAGATGGCAAACATGTTCGACGGGAGCCGGTAAAGTCTGAGCACCCGATTGTGAGAATCCATCCGGTAAGTTTCGAAACGAATTTAATAGATACCGCAGTGACTGACAGATCAAGTAGGCAACGGGGCAGAAAGCTCTGTATATCAATCCAGGGTTCACAAAGAGAATCATTGGGCTCAAAGCTGAGGAGTCCGACGCTCTTCTTGACCTGCTTTTCAAGGTATGATACTCCCTGAGTCAGTCTTTCGGTTCAAACTCCTAATGTTGGTGGACTTTAGCATATCGCGGCAGGCCAAGACTTCCAGGCCCGAGTGAAATGGGAGGAAGGGACGGTTGCTCTCTGGGACAACCGTGTGACTGCGCATACAGCTATTAATGATTACAACGTCCACAATCCACAGGAAGGACTCCGACATGGTATTCGCTTGACCACATTGGCTGATAAGCCTAGGGGAGTGTATGGATTGGAATCGTCTTGGTGATCCGCTGAGTGATGAGTATGGGCTTGAGAACCTTTCATAAATGGTACATTTTTATTTGCCTCTCAGTTGTCTGTTTGCTGGGCTGCGTGGCATTGTGAGGGCATTTGCTTAGTCTTCTCTAACAACCCATGGTGCTTTTGTCAAGAGATTGCCCCAATCGATGACGGTCTTTTTGAGGAATACTTGGCCCTATGCAATAAATGACTTTATCGTTCTTATACCAGGTCTAAGTCATTCTTTAGATGTAGGCGGATACTTAAGAACTGGTTCAATTGACTTTATTTCGATATCCACCAACTGATCGCATAGCTAAATATTGTCTTTAGGACGAGTTCTACTCAGTTATCTTAGAAATTAGGCTCATACCGTTACTTATGGTCAGTCTCACCTAATTGCTTCTACCAGAAAGTAACTCGCCGTAGCAGCCGTTGCACATCAACGCATCTTCCTCATTGTCCTGGGTCGCCACGAGCTTAGAAGTTTTCTCTTTCTTGCAACGGTTACAAGTGAAAGTTTTGGTTTTAGCGAGCCGATACTGCTGAAGGTTACCGCGGGGAGGGTAGACCTTGACCGATTCGGACTCAAGAGTTGTACTGCTGGTAGAGTTGTTGTTCATCGCAAGACTTAGAATTCTTTCAGAGGATGTGTGCTTCGAGAAAAATTTGCCGGATGGATTGTTGTAAAAAATAAAAATTCTGGGTAGACATTTATAGACTTCTTTGAATGTTGATATGTGTATTTGGCGTGGTTGGCCTCCTGCATTCCCCCCACTCGATTTCCTTTGATCATGGATATGATTTGACACCACGTTTCAGAGCTAACGCATGGTGAGATGGTTCTGTAACTTTGCATTTTTTTTTCGTCTACTTGATTTTAAGTCTTGAGGGAAAGTCTCAGCACTAGTTTGAAGAAGAAGCCGTGTCATCATAATAGAAGTAAACTTAGACAAGGAAGTATATCGGTATCATAGGTATTAATATATACATCAGCATCGTTGTTGAAATTGCCAGCCAACTTTCGCTACACGCCCCGCTGCGATAGTCACTGCTCCCACCAAAAGGGCTGCCCCAGCCCATATCCAGGCGATGTTATAACTGAACTTATCTCTGAGAGCTCCTGCAATGGGGGGCCCAAATAATAATGCTATAGCAAAAACAGAAAAGGCCATACCAAACCGCGTACCGATCTTGCTAGCGTCAGACGTCAGTCTTACAACGATGGTAGGCTGCAATGCGAAAAAGGTGCCAGTGAAGAAACCATAAACGACGATGGCGGCCAGGACCCGTGCCATGGTGGAAGCAGTGACAAGACAAAGACTTGTGATGCCAAGAGCTGTCCCGGTCAGAACAATCATGTTCATTGGTCCTAGCCTCTGGGCAAGAAATATTGGCAAAATGCGCCCGAATATCGAACTGGAGTTGAGAATGGCGAGCATATAAAGGGATAGGTGGGAAGAAATAACACCGCCCTCGAGGGAGTAGCTCTGGATGTATACGAAGGGTGTGTACATGCCGAGGAATGTCACTACGCAACCAAGTACAAAGAATATATACGGCCAATCTTTGAAGGCGGTAGCGTCGATCAAGGATCGAGGTGTTTTGCGGACTGCACCAGGCCCTCGGGGACGAAGACACGCGTTTGCAACAGCAAGAAGAACCAGACAAACGAGTGCTACCGATCTTATTGCCCACGCCAAGCCCACCTGTGCGTGCAACTGCCGCACCATAATGGGTAACAAGACCCTAATTCTTGGTTAGACCTTTTTAAGTTACGGAAGAGAACTGAGACTTACCCCCCGAGACCACTCCCGGATGCAGCAATCCCATTAGCAAGAGGGAGTTTGGTTGTGAACCACATAGAAGTCGTTGCTACACTGAGAAGAATAAGGCACCCAGCACCCAAACCAATGAGAACTCCTTGAGCTAGCATATAATGCCATAGCTGAGTGCAGAAGCTTTGTATCACTGTTCCAACGACAATGAAGACAGAGCCAATACCAAGCAGATAATGGAAATAACCCGCATCATAGATTGGTCCTGTTACCAATCCAAGAAACACCATTAAGAACGACTGTAATGAGCCGATAACGGAAATCTGGAAATGGCTATGGCCTTTCAATGGACCAGTTTCATAGATGGCTTGGAAGGTTCCATAGCTGGAGATGAGACCTAAGCAAGTACGAGTCAGCTACCAATGATTGTAGCCTCAAAGACTGGATTTTTTCACTAGCTTACCCCATGTGTTGAAGTACAAACAGAACGATCCAACAACCTGCATCCAAGCACGGAGACCTTGGTTGGGAATCGAGTCAGGCGCAACAACAGGATTCGCAGAACTCGGGGGAGTACTCGTGGCATCTTCAGGAGAACTGGAGCTCTCAGTAGCCTCCTTCGTCACGTTCATGGCAAGATGCTGAGGTGTCTTGTCACCCATCTCCGGAAGTTTCTCTTGTGTTATCGAACGATTTACGTCGCTCGCTGCGACTGTGGGATGATTCATTTCCCGAACGTAATGGCGGTTGAAGGAAAACCACTTAGCCAAGAATAATGAAACGCAAGCTCGTCACAGTACGCGTAAATGATGATAAATTGGTCAGGAATGATAAATTTTCTGCGGGACATAGGCTATAGCCGACGGTGGGGGGCCGATGGGCGTATAGGTTCCATCAGAACAGACAAGGGGTTCCATCAAGGCAGCTCAGGACCACTAAACAAAGCCTGCCAACCTAGAACTTTGGGGGCTAATAAAGCATGTAACAAGGCCAGGGAACGCACAGGCCCAGAGGATGAACAAACTTGGCTGGCTAACAACCCCTGGCCACCTTCCTTCTCCATGCGGCTGCTAGCCCGTCGCTGATCACCGAAGGCAAAGCATTGAATGTGAAACTTGGGATGGTAATGTTGAAACCCTGTCCCAGTTAAGTAGGTGCATTTTGTTGGGCCGAGGCAACTTCCTACCTGGTAGGTCAGCCACCGAGAGGAAGACAAAGATCAGTAAGCAATGGGGAAGGCGATATCAAAAGTACATCTTGATTGATCCTATGAAGCACGCTACCCCTACCCAGCATTCCTCCTCTACTCTTGGCTGAAAAGCTCATCGAGATACGATTTCCACCCCTGTTCATCGGTACCGACATAGCCGATGTACATATCTGGGCGGACCACGACAACAAAAGAGTCTTCTTGCGTAACCCAGTCCGCCTCAAAAACTTTTCCTCCAGCCTCCCGGGATAGGGTTTGCTCTCCGGCCTCTCCACTGCCCTGTGGGACCGGAGCAGCGTCGCTTGAGCGCGGCAGGATAGAGTAGCATGAGGCCACCTTTTCGTATCCCACTCGGCCCTCAGGGTGCTTACCAACGAATAACAAGGCGTAATTCCCGTACTCAACTGCCGAGTAGAGTCGGTGGGTCTTCCCGTGGGGTGCATCTGTAACCTCGACGTCTGGACACCGCTTGCCAGCCGTCCAGAAAGAGTGAGTCGATTCTACGACAAGTGGAGAGTTCATGTCCTGATACGACACGCCCATGCCTGCATTGAGTAATCATGCCGGTTAGCAAATCGCCTCAGTCAAGGCGTACCGGCTGCCGCTTACCTGTAATGTACCCAGCATTGCGTTGGATTGTGGAGACGTATTGTTTGGCCGTATGTACGGTGTCGCGGACGAGGGCGGCGGCAACGTCAATGACGCCTTTAGCCGTTGTTCTCCGCTCAAGGTCGTAGCTACGTAGTAGCTTATCTGCGGCCCCGGCCTTGAGGTTGTCCTGCTTGAGCACCATGGCGAGTCTCCACGAAAGGCCAAAAGCATCGGCGAGTCCCGTGTTTAGACCCTGGCCCCCGTTGACGCTGTGGACGTGCGCAGCATCCCCTGCCAAGATAACCCGGCCATCTCCACCATTGGAGATGAAGGAAGATGCAAGCCTTTCTTTGACTGTTTTGGTTTTGCAGAGTCAGTTGGCCGATGCCTTTCCATAGTTCGGAACGGTTCCGAGCGACTTACCGTCGAAAGTGCTGTACCACTCAACCTTGGTAAACTCCACCTTGTATGGAGCAAGATGAATCTTCACAGACTCCTTGGCCCGCTCTTCGGTCACCTCACCCTCTAACAAGACGTAGAACCGAGATAACCCACGCTCGCGAGGGATCCACGAAACTCGGGACTGCCCATTGATCTGGAACGTAATGATTTCGGGGCATGTCGGGAAGTCCGTCTCGATGAAGGCGTCGATAACAGCCCACAACATCTCCGGCTTGGTGCCGGTGAAGGAAATTCCAAGAGCATTACGTACCGTGGATCTAGCACCGTCGGCACCGATGACATACTTGGCCCGTACACGACGGCCTGTGTTGGTGATGACTTCCACTTGCGTCTCTCCCTCCGAAATCTCGGTCACAGTTTCTCCAAAATGAACGAGTCCCGGGAGGCGCTTGTATAGCATTGCTTCTATGACTGGTTGACCAAGCATGAGGAAGTTCCTGTGGAGCGTATGCTCAAGGCTAACCCACCAATCGTTTTGGCGAGACTTGAATTCACCCTCCCCGAATGTAGAGCTGGCTAAATCATACGTTAGTGATCATACGATGTCATCTCCGAGAAGAAAACAGAAAATTCCATACTGTTGCATTTGAGGCCTTGAGGGAGAAGCTCATCCAGCAGACCGGCAACCTCGAAATATTGCTGCGTACGCGCATTGAGCGCATCGGCCCTGCCAAAATCCAGAGTCTCTTTTTTGGCATCTGAAAAGGTTAGTTTTGTATGATGTAGCAATAAAACTTGTCGTTGGTTTAAACACATACCAAGGATAGATACTGAGACCCCGAGACGGTGTAGGAGGAGTCCGTTGAAGAGTCCCGTGGGACCACCTAACAAACAGCCCAGTTAGAAAATAGAATCCAAACAAAACCAGATATAAACTTGCCTCCAACAATTGCCACATCGACATCTGTCGTGTCGTTTTGGTGAGTTTCGGCGGGAGACATGGTGGAATACAGATTGCAAAGTCAATCAGATGAGCTTGAGTTGTTTGCTGTCTAGTAGATCTTGCACCTTACGTGTGGCTACCTTATTACAGTTCCGAAGCCTCCAATAATGAACCCTTGGATGGATTTGTCTAGAATACAAAAGTACCTAGCTGACACATCGTTCGACTCCGAAGTCCGCCAGTGGTGAAACTCGAATCAGTAAGTGCCCGATGATATGGATACGCCGTGAAGCACCGCCCCGGCCAAGGGAGATCTATTCTAGCTTCCGGATCGCCCCATTTTGCTACAACCGAGCCATTTCCATGCATTTTCTTTCTTCCCTTGGTTGGGCCGGGTCCGAAACCGACCGCGCGCGTAGCATGTGGCAACTAATGCTAAGCGGAATGCGGAAGGTCGTCCTCAAACCTACTAGAAGAAGTTGGAGATCACAAGAAACAGGATCAGCGAGCCCTACAACACAAGTTCCAAATCCGTATAGCCCCGAACGCTGGCCTAAAGATCCTTCCCATGGCGGCCCCATCGTAAAGATCTTTACCCCTGGCCGAGTGGGCGACTTGGGTAGCATCTGACCTTGATCCATTTCTCAGCTCCCATCCGGTTGAAAAGTGCCACCGAGACTGGGAGTTGCATAAAAAACCAAGGCCTTGGCTATACGAGAGAAGAGGAATTTGGTAATCTTGCACCTATATGTGTCCTGGTTTACTGTCAGTTTCGTCGCCACAGCCTTGGGATTGTTATTCTTTACCTGCTGAAGGAGACTGACCTCTTCCGGAGCGCATAATCCTGTCCTTTCATCTGCAGGAACGCATCCTTCATTATTTGGTTTACTTCAGCAGAGTTTATTTATCCTGTCTTAATCATATACCAAAAAGATGCCAGTTGCGGTCGATGCTATGGCCCATGGGCCGACCACTCTCAAATTTGAGCCTCAGCCAGTTGAGCCTGTGACACTAAGTGTTCCATTTGGACCACTCATTCCCACAGTTGATACTGCTGCCATTGAAACCTCCTCCAAGGTCCTCCGAATCATCGATCGCTACCGTATGAGCAAGACTATCAATGCCCCAGAAAAGGCGGATGAAGGTGCTCTGAAATTCATCGCCCTGATTTACAATCATGTCAAGGCTGGTGAAGCCATTCCCATGTGCCTGCCGGCATTTCCATTCAAGTCACCAAACTCCGAGTCCAAGGTGCTGGGAGTACTGCCTGACAGGGCCGAGATTCTTGCCTTGTCTCATTTAAACGGTCTCTGTAGCGCTATTCAAGACGTTTATGCGCCTGGGGCAAAGCTTACCATCATATCCGATGGCCTCGTATACAATGGTAAGAAATATGAGCCCAACATGTATGATTTAGTACATAACTGACTGGCCGTTTTCAATGAAGATCTGCTTGGAGTACCAGACAAGAATGTTTGGGCATATGGTGAGATGCTCAGGGACATGGCGAAGAAGGAGGGATTTGAGCACATCCTTTTCTCAAGGCTACGAGACTTGGTTTCTATCCCTCTCCCCGAGAAGCTTGATGAGATGACTTACGTTGCCAATGCATCCAACTTCCGCCTGGCTCTCCTGAATACGTTTAGCCGCCCTGACTGGGACTGGAAAGAGATCAGCAAGAGCGAAGATGTTTGCATGACCTACCGAGGCTATATCAAGTTCCTCGAGACCGATTTATTGACCGTTTACCCCCAAGGAGAGGACCGATCAAAGTCTAAATATAAGCGAGGCATTGAGTATATTGCCAAACAAATGTTGTCCCGCGGAGATGTAAGTTCCGATGATTACATATGCTGCTAAGAAAATTATGGACTAATAAGAATATAGGCATTCGCACAAGCAGTAAAAGAGAAGTACAAGGATAGCATACGCCTTTCTATCCACCCCTCTACAGGGGCAAACAAGCTGTCAATCAGTCTTCTCCCCACCTCAACCATTTACACTACCCCGTGGCACTGCTCCATCGCTTATAAGCTAGACGGAACCATCACTTCGGGTATGCGGTCCGAGTTTGAAGCTGACGAGACATTGGAGCTCATCTATGAGAACGGGCGCCCTAGCTATTTCCGAGAAAAGTCTGATCTCTTGTCCTGGGGAGAAGAGAAAGGCGGTATTGTCTGTCAGCCTATTTACCCTTGCGGTCTCATCATCCGCCCTGCCGCTGGCCCAGGGGCTTTAGGTATCCACGACATTGATGCCAAGAAGGTCAGGGCTTTGTCTGAAATCAACTCACCTGTACTTCTCCGTGGCTTCTGGAAGAAAGCGAACCGCGAACTGTTCGTTAAGAAGGCAGAGGAGTTCGGCGAACCACTTCCTTGGAAATTCGGACTCGTTCTGGAAGTCAAGGACCGAGGATCGGAGACGAGAGGTTTAAATAATGTTCTCTCGGCCGAATGGATGCCATTCCATTTCGACGGCATGTTTAAGACTGTTCAGAAGGTAGATGAAAATGGGCGAGAATATCTGGTTCCAAATCCTCCTCAGTAAGTAGATTTCTCTAAGCGTTTTGTATTAGATCAAAGCTGACATTCTATAGCTTCCAATTTTTCACTGGAGTCACACCATCTCCAAGAGACACAGGGTTCACTCTATTCTCTTCCTCTACTCTTATCTTAAAATACCTTCCCTCGTGGCTTCCTTTGGACACTCTGAAGAAGTTGACCTGGAAAGTATCAACGAGTTCATTCGACAACACGGCCATGGGTGGCCTGCAACTGGTCATCCCCCATCCTACAACCGAAAAGCCTTGCTTGAGATATCACGAACCTTGGCCTCGAAGCAAAACCGTTTTCGATGAGACTCACGTAAACATCGAAAACGTCAGTGATAAAGAGAGTGAGGCTATCTGCGAAGCGCTCGACTCTATTCTCCATGATCGCCGCGTGGCTTACTATCATGTTTGGGAAAAGGGCGACCTTCTGATCAGTGATAACATTTTGACCATGCATACTCGAAGCGATTTTACGGCAGGTTGTGATAGAGAGCTCTGGAGAATCCATTTTAGTTAAACTCTAGTTATGTGATAGGAGCAAAGGGGAGTTAAATCAATCAATTAGAATGTAAATAGGCCGCGGATCAATTTTGTTAGCAAACACATTAAGCACCTTAGCCCTTACCTGTAATAGAGGCACGCCTGCCTGTGTACGGAAGGACTGGAAATACATTTTTACTTTTTACTTGATTCTCAATTGCCCAGATCCTCTATTGACAAATTTGGGTACATCGTCGACCTTGATAGTGAACTTCAGGATCCATTGCTGCATGAAGAAATTAGGCAGTGTTGGAGATACTATCGCTAACCCTAAACCCTAAGGAATACTCTTTTTCTAGCTTCACTTCAGCATCGCATTATTGTCTTCAGTAATCGCCCTTGATGAATTCCGCTGCATAAATTATCCAACTGAACGGAACGGTTCGACTTCTGTGGTTCCAAAGTCTTTCGTGCTTACTTGCTCCTCGAACAAAAGGTCTATTTCTGCTTGCGTCAGCCCCCTTGTTTCGGGCAACCGAAAATAAGACCAGACAAGGATCAAAAGACAAAAGCTAGCCCATATGAAGCCCCCCTTTCCTCGAAGATTCCAGGCCGTAGGGTTAAGTATCGGCGGGTTGAGAAAGTTAGCGCAGATGCTGGCGATGTTGTACGTATTTCGGGCCAGGATGACCGTCTTGATCCGTAGGCGAGAGGATGGGATTTCTGAAACCAGGCAGTACCCGATGGGGCCAATGGTCAAGTCGTAGATGGCTACGAATATCATCAACAAGACTCCTGATGCCCAGGCCACGCCAGGCATCGGCGCAGGGATCCCCATAAAACCAATTGTCAGGAGGATCAAGAATAGAGAGGCCAGACCGCAGAGATAGAGCCTTCGTCGGCCCACCCGGGTAAGTATGAACCAAGCCAGAAGAGTTCCAAGCAAGGCCAGACCACTTGTCCCCAAACTGAAATTGAACGACTGAGCAGGGTCGAGCCCGACCTGCTGGAGGAAATATGTGCCGTTGCTAGCGAAGCTAGCGCCGCAGGCTATCTGTGCGAGCCACGCGCAGCAAGTTATCTCGGTGCGTTTGAGATTGGTTCCCTTAAAGCAGTCGAGATACGAGACGCCCTCTGTCAGCTTCTTTTCCATCCTATTTTCGTATTCAATCAATGCCACCTTGCGCTCAATCTCCTCTTCGGGCCATGTGCTGGCCGATGTAAGACGCCTCAAGGACTTTCGTGCGTCATCAAGTCTACACTTTCGGACCAACCAGATCGGACTTTCTGGCGTAAACAGAACTGCGGTGATCAGGGGGGGAAGAAAGGCCCATTGGATGGCATAGGGAATTCGCCACGCCCAATCATCCTTTCGACCCAAAAGTCCACGCAACACGCCCCCGCTGATGAGGTAGCCAATGGTCCAGCACATATTCACAAAGGTAGTGAGAATTGGCCGCAGAGCCAGGGGAGTGACATCCGCCGCATATGTGGTTGTCAGGGTCTGGAAAGCACCCCAGGGCAGGCCGCAGAGAATGCTAGCGGCGAAGAGCATCTCGATCCGCGTGGCGAAGAAGAAGAGGAAGATGAAACATGTCAAAAATAGCATACACCCTACGATGGTTTTCTTGTAGCTGTATCGTTCGGTGAGAATACCGGCCAGCATTAAACTAAGTATCTGCCTGACCTGAGTGCCATTTTGGAGGCCGGACATCTAGCTTGAGGTTAACTGGTAGTCTCCGTTGTCAAGGGGATGGCCAAAGCGCTTCCGAAATTGAGGCAGACCGAAGAAGTTTCTTGTTAAAGTGAGATCGTAGCTCTCCATGATGAGACTCATTGAGAGTATCATGGAAAAACAGACAGCCTTGGGATAGGCTCTGATGGCCTGCCAAACTCCCATATCTTTTTCTCTCTCCGCTGCTAACTTAGCAGCAATGATGTTGTCCTCTTCTTGCGCGTCATTTGGAGGCAGAGCCGTCTCGCTTCCTCTCCTCTGGTCTGGCTCTTCAGACACGAAAGTATCTTGTTTAGTATCATGCTGGCTGAGCTTTGAGGTACCCATAGTGTGCGGATAGTGTTAAATCACTGGGAAAGGTGATAGAAATTAAGATGCGACAAGCTCTCGTTATAATGTATGAGGTTTTTTCTAAGAGCTGAAGACATCATACGCAAATGTCTAACCGGGCGCAATGCAAGTGACCAAGCCTGGAAATGGCACCCCGCACGCATCCATAGCGGTGTGTATCTCGTTGAGGGAATCGGTGAGTAGCGGAGTGGTAATGTGCAGCAGGCAATGTGACGAGTCAGTAAAATGATACTTTGAGAATCAGCTGTCTGCAGCCAAAGAAGCCATCAGCGGAATTCATTGGCTCTTGCTAGTCGCAAGACTGCAACCTGCATGCTTAGCCCATTCAGCTGAGATGTCGATCACGGGCTGCTCACTAGATTAAGAATTATCGGAGAGCATCAGGAGCGTAGATATCTGCTCCTAGGTATTTTCGGGCAGGAGGGCACTTGTGTTTCTCTCTGGAACGGCCATGGAACTTCAATGTTGTTAATGTCTTCCACCTTAGAACGTGCATTTTCTCTCCTATGAGAATTAGGATCCCCTAACTATTGTTTGGCAATTCCTTCAACACAGGCTTAAGCCCAGTGAGCAGCTTTCCGGCTTCGAGAATAACGGTGTCTAGCGCCGCTCTGTCCTTTGGATACCGCCCCAGATATTCATCCACAGACAGCATGACGTTCTGGAGATATAGTTTCTCTTCCTCATTTGCGGCCTCATAACCGATGAAAACTGTTGCAATCGTATTTGAGGCGACGATTGACTCTAGAGATAAAATGTATGGCATCGCTTTCCAGTTCTCGACCGCAACCTCCCGGAATTGATCCCACAGCTCCGGGTCTGGAGAGCTGTAGATGATACTCATTTCATAGAGCATGCGCAGAGCAGTCATTTGGATCAGATGGAGAGACATGAACACCTGACACATAAGTGCGCTCTTGAAGTCTATTCGCGTGCCAACAATGGAAGCAGGATCATCCCTCTCAGTCACAGCCCCCTCCTTCATCGCCAATTCGGTACATTCTGCGGCGAGCTTGCGGATTTTGGTGAGCATGTCTCGCAGCTTCTGCTCGAAGATGATGGAAACGGCCTCATTTTCATCGCCATGAGGGTTCGTCCGAATCTGGTGCATCGTATTCAGCCATGAAAATATGCCTTTACTGAAGTCGTAGATGATCATTAAGTCCACGGATGTGAGAGGCTCAAGGCTGGATACTTTGGGATGCTTGAACGCGCATTTTGCCATCACTTCTTGCCACTCAGATTTCTCTATAAAGCTGGCGCAAGATTCTACGCTGTACCCACTGATCTGTAAAGGAAATGCCTGTCAGGGATGCTCGATCTATATCAGACGCAGGATGACAATGAATGCTTACCATGAGCCCATGAACCTCATTCGTTACTGTGATATCCAAGTCATCATTCAGATCAGGAGGTCCCTTCCTCTCCATCATCTGCAAGATTCCTTGATGATGAATACTGGAGAACTTTCCACGGTCAAACAATTTGCAAGTACGTTCCAGAAGGACCATTGCAGCCAAGGTCTCTACTTTCAAGGCTTGCTCGCTCATCAGGGTCCGCCTCAGACTACGGAGCACTTTTCCGTATTGCGGCATCGCCATCAGCTCCCCCTGCGGCTGACGACGGCGGAAGTCGGCCCAGGCCGCGCAGAAGAGGTCTACAGAGTCACGCAGGCAGGGGCTATCGGCGAGGCGACTGGGTAGCTGCGGCAGATAACTCATCTGCAGGCTGGTGATGCCGTTCGCGCCCTTGTCCAGGTTGCCGACGAGACGAGTAGCCACACGTTCGGCAAGGGTTGTCGGGTTCGCGCGAGGAGGCGTGACTTGGAGAAGGCCGTATTCAGCGCTGCTGTCACCAACATTGGGGTAGTAGACTCTCCGCAGCTGGAGCGTCGAGGAGCTTGAGCCCTGGGTCTGGTGAGGCGGCGACTTGGATGCTGAGCGGCGTCCATCGCTTGCAGGTGATTGACCATCCCTGTGAGAGCCATTATTGATGAACTTGACGAGCGACGTTGGCCCTGGGCAATCGACATTGATGTGCCTACATTGGATACATGTAGGCCACGTTTCATCGCACTGGAATCTGTCAGCATGATTTGCGCGATGAGTTGATTAAGGTGAACGAGCTACGTCAGCGACCGGAATGAAATAAGGGCGCGCGATTGGCGATCGCCATGGATGGACCGGTTACTCAGCTTCACTCACCTTGATCTTGCGACGTTTACACGTCTGGCACCCTTTGGATCTCGGTACGCCGGGCATCTTGCAATTGGTGGCAATGCAGATGAGGATATCTAGAATGATGAAGCCAAATGGTCGAACCTGATGCTTTGTTAGATTCGGGACGTGTGAAAGAAGTTGAGGGCTGAGTTGCCCGAGATTAAGAAAGATGGGGCCGGCGAAATCTGACCAAAGAGAAGGGAATCTAGCAGAGCTAGGAAGTGATCAGCTGCATGTTGACGTCTGGCCAATTCCTTCCAAGCTTCTCACAGCCTATCGATCGCTATTTTTGTCTTGCAGCTGTCAGCAGCCTTGCCGTAACAGAATTGCCACTCCTGGGGTTTTGGGACTTTGGGGAAAGCTGACGCCGACATGTGCCGAAAGATTCGACGGAACCCGTCCAGAAATAAGAATACAATTAAATGCCGTATCGAATAGAAAGCTAGCACGGTAGTCGCTGCTATTTTTGGTATAATTGGATTCGGAGGGTTTTGTGTTGAATATCAATGCGTATAAAAGGGGGAATCCGCAAAATTTACCCTATAGAACTTGGAGGGCCTGGTCAAAATCAACTAGCCTATCATCGCCATGTATAGTACTTTACAATGCAATTGGTGCTGGTTCAACTCTCTCATCTATGTGTCTGATTCATTCTAGAAATTGTGACTAGATGCAAAATGTTTCCGTTGTTTGATTATACGAGGCGTGCTGAACTACGGCTCAAGCCATGTCTTGACGGGGTTTCATTGTCTCTAAGGTTAGCGTCATCACCACTGCGATCTACCATCCCATGAAATGACTATCTCGTAGGTGAGTAGGGGTTTCATAAGAGGGTGGCTGAGATCGCAATCTCTTGAAAATTCCCAGCATCTAGTGTAGCATGATCGTGTGTTGTCAATGAAAATCCTGTGGTATTTGATTTATACTTTAAACCGATATGTGTTGTCTGTATGGTAACCATCAAGTATTCTATGTTAATGTATAATGAATTTGAGCGGTTGAATTTCGTTCGGAATACATTGTGGAGAGAAAGCCTGACGACTTGAATAATTGGTATGTATGTGAGCGCCAAAGACTTAACTCGAACAGCTTATTTGTCTTCACACTACAGTGCTTCCCACCGCGTCGTGAAGCGTGAGAAGATACTTATCTTTTGACAGTTGCATACAGCTGGGAGCGAGAGGAGAGGTACAAGGTGCATACCTGCTTGGCATTTCACTTGCCTAGTTTCTCTTTCATATTTCACCTCCATTGATCCCATTTAGCTTCGACTATTCCTTTGGCGAAATATAACCTACGCTAACGACTAGATTTCTTATATCTCCAACATTGGGCTCGTTTCTCCTACTATGGGCCGTTGGGAATACTATATGTCGATTACCAAACTTCGTTTCAATTCTCTAGCCACTGACTTCCCTTCCGGCGAACAGGTCTTGGTCAAATCTTTTGGCGTCTCGGCAGGCTCATCGACTCTACAAACCCAACCAGTACAATACCGAATTCAGCCAAACAATCACTACGGTCTGCAATCAATTTGAAGCAGGTCTAGGAGACCGTTTCTTCGAGAAATATCATGCGGGAGAGAGCAGCCATGCTGATGAGTACCGCATCGCCCCTGCAGGCGCGCTCACCATGCACGCTGGAATCAGGATAAAACCGGTATCTTCTGCATCTACGGGAACTAGTACTCAGATAAAGTGAACCTACGCATTTTCTCTGCCCATGTTTGACACGGTATTCCGTGAGCCTGGTAGGGTTTAACTGCTCACCACCTTGGAAACTTCCAGGAACCAAGCTGTTCTACCTGTGGCAGATCTAAACTGATCCAGGATTCGCTCCCAAGAGATGTGCTCACTCTCAGCGTGAATGGTATTGTTGCAAGGTAATCATATATTCTATTTATGATCGTGCTGGCTCTGCCTATTGAGACTAACGTGGAAACTCGCTAGCTTGCCAACGAGCATAGTGGTTTACCCACAAGAAGCGATGCGTGCCTCTCAGTCAGCTCAGAATGCTCAACGTGTAAGAAAAATGATGAGATGCCTTATTCTATTCGCCTTGTAGATTTGAGGACCATTAGTAAAAGCTTTTGGAGTAGGGATCTAGCTGCGAGACATGCAACGATAGTATATCAAGTTGCACGCCTTCTACCACTGCCTCACTAGGTAATTAGGATATCTCTTGCCATTTCCAGAGTCAAAGTACTAGATATATTAGTTGGTAACGGCTTTGAGATCAGCTTCCATTCCGATTCCTGATACCAATTAGGTGAACGCCCTTTGAGTCTTTTTGATTCTTGATCAAGATGGACATCGCTGTTTTTCTACTTCCAAAACCTCGAATTCGATCGTGGATAACAAGATGGAAAGTGCTCGGAGACCAGGTATGTGTTAACAATTTTGTGTTCCTAATTATTGTAGCTAATTACACATTTTTTACATAAGAAGACTCCTAGAAGAAACAACTTTATCCAGGCCGCAGTAGCCGCTGGCCCAAATAGTATGTAAATTACAAGCAAAAGAATGCGCCAAGCACCTTTGTATATAGCTCGCCCTCGAGGCCCTATTATTTTATATCATCAACAAAACCCAGGTTGTGGCGATTCTCATCGCATACTCTAGCCCACTCAAGTAATAAGCGCCACACATACAACCGCATATCCTCTCGTCGTAGTGTTGCCTCGGCCCAGTCCTTCCCGCTCTCAGCAATGAACCGGGCAGCCATGTCTCCAGGCCCGTCACCGTCGGCGAAGAAGTCGAGGGCGGGAAACAGATCTTGCAATGTATTGTCAAGTGGGATGAAATGCAGCCAAGGCACAAGGCGGTCATCGTGCCATTCGGTATAGATGGAAGCTTTCAGGGGTACACTGGTAGATCGGAGGAAGCCGCGGAACCGTGCGCTGAATGAGTTGCCATCCACATCTGGGAGAAACTTGTATTGGTATTGTTTCTTCATGGGTATTGATTTCACCACCTTGAAGTACGTGCCTAACCAGTCGCACTCATCGTATGGGCAAAGGAGACCGAAGCCCGCGTCAGCAAACGTTTTGAGCCACTCACTCAGCTGGCCGTCCTTGATTCGGTAGTCGGGGTATATTTCGTGTGATGGGAGTTCAAAAGTCATCGCTCTACCTTCAGCCTCTGCACGGGACACGGAGGTGCTGTTGAGCATATCGATGAGGCGATGTCTTTGAAAGTGGTGCCAGGAATGCGGCTTGGTGCGGCCACCAGACCCCATCCCACGCCATACAAGTTGAGTTTTCTTCCGCACCCACGTCGGTCCGTGACTCTCTCCACCAGAGTAGAACTCTCTGTCTGTCAGGTACATTGCCCCGGGGATGAGGATCTCATTGTTCATCGGGAGTTTCGATCCACCAAACAAGGGGATGAGCTCTTCGGTAGAGCGAATAGAAACGGGCTCGATGAGACTGCCATGTAGCTGTCTTAGGTGTGGCTGAAGACACGGATCTATAGCAGCTGTCCAGTTCTGTATGAATCCCTTGTATGCATAGCTCGGTCTGTAGTTTTGTGGAAACTCGCTCGGTTGAGACAAATCGGCCACCTGCTTCACTCCGTGTGCAGGCGTATTCGGGCCGCAGGTTTTGACGGCCACATCCCAGTACTGTTCGTCAGGGCCATGCCACTCGGGCTCGTACGTTTCGGAACTCGTCTCGTCAATCTCTTTAAGGCCCTTGAACTCTGTCGTCACCTCCTTGACATCAACCATCTTTCGTTCCTTCTTTTCCTTGTCTACCAACGTCGTAATGTTATTAAAAGGTACGAGGATCCGAGATTCGTCCATGTAGTTGATGGGCATGTCGACGTCTGGTAAGTGTTCGGCGAACTCTTCAACGAGGGTATTCCATAGTTCCAGCCATAATACACGGTCTCCG